CACAGGAGTCTCCGTGTGGGGACAGGATAGGCCATTCGGAGCCAAGCTGGAGATCCAGTGGCGCCTCCCTGTGTGCCAGGACCTCCTCCGTGCACATGGGGCTGCGGGCCGAGTGGACCAGGGCGGCTGTGCTTAAAACTCTGTCCTTCTCCTTCTCCTGAGCCTTGAACCCCGGCCACAGCATCCATGTGTCCCTGCTGTCCGCTCTCTGCTCTTCTTTGCACTATGGCGTCCTCTGGGATTGGGAGGACAACTCCTCACAAAAGCAGGGGACACTTTTTAATAAAAGTAACTGCTACTGTTCGTGTAGCACCTAAAATGTTCTGAGCGTCTGTCTAAGCATCTTTCAAGCTTTAGTTCTCCCAGCTTTTAAAAAGAAGTCTGGTTTTCACCCCCACTTTGTAGGGGAAGAAGTAGAGCCATAGAGGTCGTGTGACCTGCCCGAGTCCTGGAGCTCAGCGCTAGCACGGCTGGGACACATGTCAGACCTGTGAACCCTGAGCCACACTGCACTGCAGGCTGCTCCGAGAGGCTACTGCACCAGCTTGGAATATTCTGCAGATATTCAGACACTTTCCTATACATTGAAGTACTGCTGAATATTGCTTGGTACCTTGCCCCCCAAAATCATGCGTTCTTTCAAAAATATTCAGAACACCTCCCTTTCTCCTTGGACTCTTCTACCAGCTCATCGTACTTGGCCATCCCTTCCCAGGTAGCACTGGGCCGCTGTTTTCCTGTCCACAGCTGGAAACCTCAACCTTCTAGGTGCAGTAAAGGTGTCCCATCCAGCTCTGCACATCATTAATCTTAAAGACAGCTCCAGTGGAACTCCATTTACCATCCTGTTGATAAGAGAAAGCGAGAAATCCTTGGGCACTGGATGCTAATTAGATCTGCCCTCCCACCCGAAGCGGGCTGCAGCAGTAAAGGAAAGGACGGAGTCGGCAGGACGCCCCTCTTTCCCAGAGGTTTGGATGGGGAAGGAAAGAGGGAGGCAGATGGCTGCCATGCATATGGCTCCTTTTTGAGAAAACTGAGAAAGGACTGCCAAGAGTGAGAGGAATGACCTGAGCACGTTTTATTACGACACAGATTCTTCAGGAGAGGAGGAATCTGGGCCGTTAGCCACTCGGGCACGGAATCGGTAGGAATACAATGGCTCGTAGAGGTGAGGGGCCCCCCTTCCACTGCTCAGCCCCATAAAGCCCAGGTGGTTGATCCACCCCCTCCCAGGGAGGGCAGGTTTATGCCTGTTTCAGCTTCTGATGGGCTGACCGTAGAATGTGGGACAGATCTCACATGTTCAGATGACTGGCCATGACTGCGTCGGGAGTGCAGACTGCAATTCCGTTCCTCGGGTCCAGGTGCTGATTTACACTCCTTTTGTGTCTGTTCCTCAGCTGTACTTGGGAGACGGTCACCAACCTGAGCCCCAGGGCTTTTCTTGGGCTCAGTTTCTTCCAGAAGGGAAAGCGTGGACCTCCGCCCTCCCGTTTCTGGTGGCCTTGCTCGACTGGTACCAGGGATCGAACTCAGGACCTCGTGCTTGCAAGGCAGGCAGTGGAACCACTGAGCTAAATCCCCAGCTCTTCCTTCCCTTCTCTGGCCAGCCTTCTCTTTTGGTAAAGCAGAGGGTGTTGGGGGAGGGCCAGGAGCCTGCTCAGCATCGCCCAGCAGTTTGGGCTCCTCCAGATGCCCCTGAGCTGCCCGCTGCGCAGCCTCTCCTCGTGGTGGCCATGCACACCTCATTGTGACAGCCTCCAGGCTCGGCTCACACGAGCTCTGACACGGAGCAGCTGGGCCCCTCGCCCCGGAATAGTGGGGATTTTTTCAAGAGGTAAAGCAATGGGCCCTGCAAATCCATCCATCCGTGTGGAGCCTCTCTGGCCTGGGGAGTGCGGAGTGGAGACATCAGTCCCTTCCGAGTCTCCTGGCCCTTGCTCCCTCCTCTGTCGTGGCAGCCCTGGAGGCACAGCTGCAAACCAGGGGCTCAGGAAACATAATTTGAAAACACTGTCTACACCTGTGTTGCTCCTGTCTGCAGGTGAGCCTCGGCACCTGAGTCTGCTCTGTGTCCCGGAGTGCAGTTCTCTTTGACCCACTCATCCTTGGGCGACTCAGAGAAGCCACCTCATTGGTTTCTTCTAATTCTACGAGGGTGTGTGTGCCTGTGTGCGCATGAGCCAAACCTACCCTCCACCTGGCCAGGCACAGTGATCTCGCATAGACGGAGTGGGGGACAGGAGGGCCGAAACTCTCCAAGGTCACATACCCAGGGCTGATGGCTTAGGCTTCATCAGACCCAAATCTATTTTGCACTCGACTTGGCCGACCAGGTACCACTGACACAAACCTGCGTGTCCCTGCAGGCTCCCTCGGTTACTCTGCAGTGACTTAATGTGGTCCCCAGGCACTAGGTCCCTCTTGCAGGGGTTTCTGGCTAATGGCGTACACAGCTGAGCCAGGCCGTGTTAGGGGTGCAGCTGCCTTAGAGAAGCGCTTGGGAGCCACCAGGCCTGCCCAGACGCCTGTCCATCTTATGTGGCTTTGGAATTTAGCTAAACACTATAAATAATAATTTAGGTAGCATTAATGAGCCCTGCAACTAAAGGCCAGGTCTTAACTAACCCATAACTGGAAACCCAGTCATCCCAAAATTGTGTGCTTTTCTCCCCAGAGTTTAATACTGTGGCTTTTGGTGTTCTTGAACATAGTTAATTCTTAGATTTGACTCATAAATCACCATTTCCTATTGAGAGGTGAGGCAGAGGGGAAAGGGTTCACTTGAGCTAGAAATCCTTTAATCTCCTTGGACCCAAGTTTCCCTGGCCTGTTTTTTACATTTCAAGTCTGACTTCCTTGCGGTATTATTTTACATTCTTATTAAATTTTTAGCTGACGGGAGAGAGAGTACCTCATTAAATTTTCCCCTGTCTGCAGGTGGGGTTGGTGACTGTTACTGAGAGCCAGATTAAGATTCATAATCATTTAGCCTTGTCGCACTGGGTGGATATAGACTGGAGATGTTTAGTGCTGATAAGCACTGGGTAATTGGCTTACAGAGCTAGACAACCTGAACCCTTTCAAAAAGGAGAGCCCGCAGTAATACCCAGGAAGCATTACACGAACGCATCACCACATGAGAGGCACGAATGAGGTAATGGCGTCTCAGTGAGGGTCAGGCTTTTGCTATTGAATTCATCCCAAACTGCAGCAAAGAGAGCCATACACAGGATTCAGAGCTCAGAAGAACACACAATTTAGAGGCACTAGATTTTTTTTCCAGTATGAGATACAATTTAATTACAGCATCCACATAGATGACAGATGACATTTACTTGCCTGTGCATTCAAGCTCATGTTTATTTGTGACCAGAGAGGTGTGAGGATGGTACGTTCTTAAGTGATAGATGTTCGCAATTTCAAGCTCAAATGGGCTGCGGAAAAGAAAGAACAAAGTCAGAGTCGAAATGTACTTAGACACCAAGAGATCTTCTTGATTAGGGTTAGAAGAATGGATGTGTGGTGGACAGATGTGGGTTTCCTGCCCGGAGATTTTAAATAAAAGGAGGATGGTGCTTTTGTGGGGAGAGTTTGAATATAGCAGATCTCTTTGATTCAAAGGGACAGGAGTTCTTTTGAGCCTTCTGTGGTTCTTATTCAGATGTTTTCGTGACCATGGAAGAAACCGAACCAAATCACTGGCTCTGGGGATCCCAGTTGGAGTCTTCTCACCTCTGCCCCACCGGCACCAATCTATCCAAAAAATTTAGTTTTTCATATGGAAATATAATTCCTCCCCCCCCGCCAATACTCTGCTGGGTCTTTTCTTGGGATTGATTTGATTATTTTGTTTAATTTATGGCAAATTGATATTTTTAAAATACCAAGTGTCCAATCCAGGACCACAGCACATTTATTTAGGTCTTTAATTTTTCCCTGCAGAGTATAATTTTCATAGAAGGGATCTTGCATATCTTTAATTAGATTAATTATTCTAGGGTTTCGAGGTGTTTTGCCACTGTTGCTGAGAGCATGGTCTGAAGCCCTTGAACGCACAGCCAATAACACCTACTTATTTATTCTGCTCATCGTGGACTGAGAAGAAAAGCAACAATCAGCTTGTCCTTTTCTCGGAAGGCAGGGTCCCTTCCCTACCCCAGCAAGGTCGAAGAGGTCTCAGAGCTCCACTGCCGGACACTGATTTCAGGGTCTGAACATTTCAGCCCAGAAATTATTCTTTTGGTCTAACCTACAGTCCTCCTGTTGGCATTTTAGTTTGTTTTCCTTTTATTTGGTTCACAGTTTCCCTTCTACAAAGCTTCTTATCTATCAGCCTGCTGTTTGAGTCATGACGCAGATATTCTCTCCAAGAAAGCACAGAAAAATATGCATAACTTCTGTTAGGAGGGAGTTTGTTCATGATACAGCATTAAGTTAACAAAATATGATAAAATTCTCATTGTACTTTTAATACACATATTTATAGAGAAGGGGGGAAAAGAAAATGCCTGTTGGTCGTTATCCCTGGTGACTAGTTTATGGACTTTTTTTAACTGCCTACATTTTCAAGAATTTTATGATAAACTGGCATCGTGTTTGCACTAAGCAAAAATCAACAAAGTAAAAACAAATCTAAATCAGCACTTTAAAATGGACAAAAGAAAATGAAAAACAGAATCATGAGCTTGAACTTTCCTTTCCTTTTCATTGTGTAAAGCGTATTAAAATTTGCTAGTGAGATTAAGAGAGGCCTGTGACATAGCTTGAGATCGCCAAGGAAGGCACACGTCTCTCTCAGGGGTGCCAGTCTGCCTGCCGGTCCCGATCAGCCATAAACTCCAGGCTCCGCTTAGAAGACTGGGCCCGTCTTCTCTCCCATTGCCTCAGTTCCTGGCGCAAATCCATGTCCACGGAGGGCTCAAGCTGAATTCGCTAGTGGTCCACATGTGTGTCCCCTGTCAGCTGGCCTTCCTGACCCTGCTGTTTGTTGACAGGTTCTCAGGAATCAGACAGCTCTCAATCGGCCAAGAAGGACATGCTGGCCGCCTTGAAGTCCCGGCAGGAGGCTCTGGAGGAGACACTGCGCCAGAGGCTGGAGGAGCTCAAGAGGCTGTGTCTCCGGGAAGCCGTAAGCAATCGCATCATGGTGTCCCCTCCTAAGTAGGGCAGGAGGCGTCCCGGGGCGGTGGGGGCCTCGAAAGTGCTGGAAACATCCAGCTCTGTGATGAGTGTGGTCAGGAGCTGACTTGCGGCCTTGACAGACCCTGCCACCTGTGATAACCGGTCATACACGCACGCATGGCTCCCCACGGTGCACAAAGCCTCCCTCATGTGACACTGCCTCTTGCCGAGAACAACCTGCACCATCTTCCCAAGACTGCCTGGCAAGCTCAGTCCTCATGAGCATATGGAGGCCCCTGAAGCCCACTGCTGGATTAATGAAGTCTCCACTTCTTTCTTATTTGTTCTGTGACCCTTTATTAGTGGTCTCTGGAGACTGTTTTCAGTGTGGCACATACTGGTGTGTGTGTGCGTTTGTGTGTGTGTGTCCGCGTGTCCGGGCACACATGTGGACAGTGTGAGGGACTCTCCCGGGACTGGTGGGGTTGCTCTGCCAGGAAGCAGTTCCAAGCAGGGAGGTTGCAGAGGCTCCCAGGCAGCCCGGGAGGTGGGTCCTCTCCCCCCAAACAGCGATGCTTTGCAGAGAAATAATGGGCCACGGGGCCACGGAGTGAGGTCATGTTACATTTCAACTTGGCTCAGTCATGGTCTGGAGTGATTTAAACCGGAGCCCACTCAGAACAGCGGCACATTAGCACAAATCCATTGCAGATCTCGGGAAAGCAATCGGCTTGGCTGAGGGAGCGAGCTATGTGATATCCTTATATTAGCAACCTTTGCACAAAGAATATGCTTGAAGTATTGAAAAAATACAGGTGTTTGCATCGGCCTTTAATAATTTATAAAGCCTTGTTTAGGGTTTAAGAAAGGAAAAGTCCCTGAACCCACAGAGAGCCCACATGAGGAGATGTAGGAACGTGTCCGGGCAGTCAGCCTGCCCTCTACTGTCTCACTGTCTCTCCGAAAACAGGGGAAACAGGGCTCTCGGGCCCTGGAGTGTTGGCAACAGAAAACATAACACGAGCAGGAGAAGGAGCCCAGCAGGAAGTCAGCCGCTTGTTTCTACCAGCGACTCCTGGCACAGTTGACAAGCAGGACCGAGAGGCCTGCTGTTAGCGGCTGTCAGACAGCTCCCTCAGCTCGCAGCGCAGGAAGCTCTGTTTGGCCGCCGCCGGGAGGCGGCCGGAATGGGGTCAGTGGGGCTTTCGGCAGAAAAGAGAGGGAGGCCCGCACAGGGCACTGGATTATCCTGTGCGCCCAGCTCTGCTTACACGTAAAATCAGAGTAGATGTCTGGAGAACCAAGATCTTGACTCGGGGACCTTCAAGCAGCTGGTGAAAAATCGGTGCCTCACTTTAAAATGTATTTTAAAACCACACATGCTTTGGCGTTATAAATCCATGGCGATTTTAGCAGCTTCTCCCTCCTTTTTATACATTTCAAGGTACCAAAAAAAAAGTCCTGACAACATAGAGCCTTCAATAGGTTGTGTTATTTATAGACAGACTTTGAGGGGAGCCAATGAAAAAGTTGTGGGATAAATACATAACTGCTTAGGCGTCATCTGAACCACGTGTTTTCAAAAAGAAAAGAACAGGGAAGAAAGCTGCAGAGAGCCGAGCCAGCTCAGGCTCAGTGGGCTGCGGACCTCGGGGACTGAAGTCCCGGGGTCGCTCCCAGGGCCGTGGAGCTGGAGCAGAGGCACAGAGAGGCGGGGGTGTTCGTGTGCTTCCAGGTCTGCCCCGTGTGGGTGACAGGTGCTCCCAGCGGGACCCTGCTGAGCTCTCCTCATCCCAGCAGCCTTCGAGTCCTGTGCAGCTTCTGCATTGCTCTGGGGGTGGGAAGCCCCAGCCACGGTTTGTCCGGACAAGCCTGCTTTGCCCTGAGGGACACTGTGGCTCCCCAGCCTTTTCTGGTCCCGGAAGTGGCTTCTTGGATTCAATGGCTGGCTCCACAGTGGGATTTGCCCTGACTCACACTCATCTGCATGCAGCGCGGCTGTGACCCCAGACGGAGAGCCTCATCCTGAGTCACTGCCCTGATCCTCTGCCCGGGCCCGAGCCCTCTGTCATTGTGGGTCTGTCACCTCCGTTCACATCATCGCACACATAACGGCTAGATTCCCAGAAGCCAAAATGCACATGACAGGTTTTTTAGTAGCCTTGTTAATCAAATAGATTACATTTTCAGTTTCTTAAAACTCTTGGGTTATATACAGGTTAGAGTCCCGGGAGTGTCTGGCAGAGGGAATGAGTGCTACCCACACTCCGTCTTCACCTGCGTAATACTGCCCTTGCTGGGATGTGCCATACAGACCTGTGCCTCCTGAGAAGACTCACGTAGGAGATCTGGGTTCTGAGGCCCGGGGCTGCGCTGCCTGCTGCTCCCTGACTGCATCCTTGCTTGGGGCAGCAGGCACGGGGGCTCTCCCTGGATCAGCGGAGAACGAGGGTGGAGCATTGCTGAGTCCAGTAGACTTATTTACATGGCAGGAACTGATTTGGAAAAACTTCGCAGACTGCCTCTGGCCTGTAAGAAAGGAACGCTGGCACACATTTTAGAGAGATGACATTTCATTCATGAGCGCTTACTGGGGGACAGCTTCGGGCTGATGTTGCTCAGCTCTTTGGGATCTGGGCATTGAAGGGCGTGTGCGTGCGTGTGTGTGTGTGTGTGTGTGTGTGTGTGTGTGTGTGTGTGTGTGTACAGATGACCAGCATGTGCCGCTCTGCGCCCTAACCACTGTGACTGCTTCCCTCATTGCAGGAGCTCACTGGCAGACTCCCTGTGGAATACCCCCTGGACCCCGGGGAGGAGCCGCCCACTGTCCGGAGGAGAATAGGCACAGCCTTCAAGCTGGACGAGCAGAAGGTCCTGCCCAAAGGAGAGGTGTGTTCTTCTCCGGGGTTGGGTTCTCTCCGGTTATCCTTGTCTTCCCCAGGGGTTGGGGCTCCCAGCTACTCGGCCCCTGTCTTTCTTGCTGCCTCTTCTTCGGTGAGCTGGTTGATGAGGCTGTGGCCTCCTGCTTGGGATGAGTCCTCCTGTCCTGGTTTGCACTTGGAATTCTGCTGGGGTTACTTGTGCAGTGCGCCAGGGCTTTTGCAAGTGGCCAAGTCAAGCCTGGGGAGAGCATTCCAGTGACAGTCATGTGCCCTTGTCTTCTGAGTGGTGCTCAGAGCTGTGCCTGATGTCTGCTCAGTGGGAGGAAACACCGCAGGGAAGGGGTCAGTGTGTCCTTGGGTGCAAGGGGTTCGCTGGCTGGGCGAGATCACTAGGGCCTGCCCTGGGGGCCAAAACTGCTACAACACGAACCAGACGTTCGGTGTGTCTTGGCCTCACCTGTCTGTGATCGACAGAGCCATATTTTTCTGTTTTTATCCGCTTTGGACTGAACACTGATGGAGTCAGGGGCTGGAGAATTCAGATTTGGGGAGGAAAAAGGCCTTGCAGCTCTGGTAGGGGTGAGTATCCAGCCTCAGTCCAAGAGACATGAAGGACAGGTGTACCTTAGGGTTAGGTCATCTTCAGGAAGCGCCGCCCCCGGTTTATTGTGAATAGCGTTGCTCATGAACTTGGTAATAGAAGGCTTAAGAGGTCAGGACTGACATGCTGGGGGCGCCGTGCTGTAGACGTGCCCTCCTTCCTGTCCATTCCCCATAAAACCATCAGAGCATGGTGTCCTGCAGACTTTAGCTACTCTTCTGGTTCTGGTTCCAGACCAGCCCCTTCTCCTCCCCCTGCACTCCCCTTATCTCTGCCACTGTTGCCTGGCAGCCCGTTTCTCCCGTCAGGACTGAGGCTCCACCTGGCCCCAGCCTTTGCATCTCTTTGTTCTGCCCTTTTCCTTCATCCCCCAGTGTTCTCCCTCCATGGACCTTTCAGCCGTGCAGGCCGAGGCACTGAGAGGCAATGGAAAAGGGACACTGCATTTTTAGTCTTTTCAGAAAGTGGTTGGGAGAAACATTTTTCATGTAACATAATGTAGGTCAGCGTGAGGGTGGATTTAGACAGGGAGCCAAGTGCCTGGGGCCCATGCAGTTTTGGGGATCTCTGGAGAACCCGCAGTTGCAGATCCCGAGCGCTGCACGCCAAGGAAAGCTCTTCCAGGCTGCTTCCTCCCTGTGGAGTTCTGACTGCAGACTGGCTGGGTCACCCCCAGGAACAGCGAGCCGGAGTATGAAACACGCTCAACTCCATAAGCAGCACCTACTTGGGCTCAGTAAACATCAGTTGCTCTAAGTAGAGAGGGAGAGTCATTCAGGAGGCCATCTGTCAGGTGCTTTTCAAATCCAGGCAGTCACTGAACTCCCGAGGGACTGCACCCACCTTGTCGCTGGGCAGTCAAATGCACCCTCCTTTCAGTGGGTGCCCTGTGCTCCATCAGGCTCCTCGTTGCTCCACGCCGCAGAGGCCCCTTGGGCAGCAGGAGACCCCAGAGGCGTGCCACCACTCCAGGGTCTCCTGGCAATGAGACCCCTTTCCTGGTCACATGGCCACTACAAGCCGAAGTGTCAGGGTTGGTTCGGCGCTCCCACAAAGCTCAGGGTCTTCTTGGGCCGAGGCCGCACCAACTGCCCAGAAACAGGTGCTCGGTGCAGCCTCAATCACAGAAGGTTTTGGCCCCCCAAGGCTCCAGGCAGGGGTCCAGCTCTGTGTCCTTCTCCCCCGGAAGGACACATGTGGACAGCGTTTGAAGGGTGAGGAAGGAGTTCATTACCTCAGAAACAGTCCCGGTTAGCCTTCACCTCTTCTCTGCCTCCTGGGCACCCCCTGCTTGGGGCCTACAGTGGTCAAATGTAAGTGAAACCGGGCAGGGAATGTTGGCCCTGGCAGAGGCACCGCCTGGCGGGGTTGCGCAGGGGCGGGACTGTTTCACTGGGCCACCACGCGGAAGAGTGGTCTTCTGCCTACATCCGTTCCGTGAAACTGTATGACGCTGTGAATGACCTGGAGCGGGATGCTCGGTTCCCCTGCTCTGGCGACTGTCAATCCTGGGAGAAGCCGCTGATGTGTTTGTCGTGGGTTTATTAGGTCTGGGCCTTGGCAGAGTCCCATCTCCTACCCGTTCCCAGCTGATGCTGGGGCTTCCGGCCCCTGCTGTATGAGAGAGTGAGCAGCAGCTTTCAAAATCTGAACCTAGCAGGTGGCCCTAGAGCTGGCTTTGATTAGAGGCGCTTCACTGGGGAAGAGATGAAATCGGGAAATGGACAACCTGAGACTTTGGGGTATTCTGCATCGGCCCCAAATCCTCACACGCAAGTGTGTGAGCCTCCTCCTCCCGGTGCTCAGCAGCCCGTGTGCACACATCTGCTCAGGAGACGGGGCCAGCGGCGACACGATGCCTGGCGCTGTGCTCTGGTACTGCAGGCATGCCAGGCACACACACTGTCCCAGAGCACAGAGGGAAACTCCTCAGCCCAAGGGAGGGACAGGGTAGGAGTGAGCTACCCGGGAAGGAGCGGAGGAGGAGCCCCTGGTCCCAGCCAAGGAGCTAAGGGAGAAGCCGGTTTCACTCCTGCCTACCAGGGGGCCACTGACCGCTGAGCAGGGCTTCCCTGAACCCGCAAGTGTGAGGGCAGCCGGAGCTCACAGAGAGCTTCCAGAAGGTGCCCAGGTGAGAGGAGGGGGCGTGTCCCAGCTGGGGACCAGAATGTTAGGGGAGGGAGATGCACAGGTGTGAGCAAACCGTGGGGAAGTCAGCAGCCCGCTCTGGAAATGGGGCCCCGGGTGGAAAGGCAACGGGCTCTGAATTCGCAAGAATTCACTGGAGCAGGCCTGGGCCAGGGGAGGGCGGGTGGTTGTCTCCCCGCTCAGCCTCTGCAGCTGAGCCGCGGTGTCCCCCACAGGAAGCCGAGCTGGAACGCCTGGAGCGGGAGTTTGCCATCCAGTCGCAGATCACGGAGGCTGCCCGCCGCCTGGCCAGCGACCCCAATGTCAGCAAGAAGCTGAAGAAGCAGAGGAAAACCTCTTACCTGAACGCACTGAAGAAGCTTCAGGAGACTGAAAATGCAATCAATGAGCACCGCATCAAGTCTGGGAAGAAGCCCACCCAGAGGGCCTCACTGGTCATAGACGGTCAGTGCCATCCTCTGTCCTGTCCCCCAGGTAGGGCCACATCGAGCCCCGCGCCAGGTTCTGCTGTGCTCCTAAGCCCAGCACTGCACAGCCTGAGCAGCCCGGGCCCAGCCTGTGCCAGGTCTTCAGCGGACAGCACTGCAGGGCCCTGGACGCCGTGCCCTCGGGTCCAGGAGCTCAGGGAGCATACGGGGCCTCACCGTCGACCCTCCGTGGCGTCCCCAGCCGGGCTCTGCGCTCCGCTCCACTCCGGGGCCCAGCCTCCCTTCCCCAGATCTGCAGGGCGGGGTGGAGAGCTGCACCCCACGTGCCACACCTGCCCCAGGCTGGTTCTGCTTGCCTGCAGGGCTGCTGTCCCAGGAGCCGTGGCGTGCTAGGGCCAGACTGTCCCCACCAGCGTCCGCCCGGGCTGCAGTCCAGGAGCTCTAGGAGCGCAGCTGATGATATCTGGGAAGCTCTAGGAGCTCATACCCCAGTCTACCTACCGAAAATTGAGTCTCCCTGCGCTCTGATGGTCTTTTTCTCTAGATTAGCAAATTACTGAAACTGTGTCAAGTATTCTTGAACCATGTATGCATGTTTAAAAATACTGTTGCTCTAGGGAAACAGAAAGTAAAGCAGAGATTTCCAGGAATGAGGGGTGGGAGGGGTGAGGAATAATTGTTCAGTGAGTCCAGAGTTTTGGTTTGGGAAAATGAAGATGCCGTCCAGCCGGAAGACGGACGCGCTGAGGGTGGCACTGTACTGTGCATTACTCAGGGCAGCCGAGCCAGGTGCGTCCAGGGACGGCTCCGGTGTGCACACTCGGTACGGGAACAGTGGCTGTGGGAGACAGGAAACTGCAGGCAGCCTGAGTCAAGGCCCGCTCCCAGCTGCTCGCACCAAGCAGGAAAACAGTGAAGGCCTAGCTGAGAGCGCGCAGAGCTGGCCATGTAGGGAGGGGAATGGGAGGACCCATCTCTCTGCATCTTGGCCCCGCCTTTGGCCAAGACCCGTAATTCCCCGTCCGCCCCAGGGCTGCAGGGCACCAGCCCTCTGCCTGGTGACGGCCGTGCTGGTTGCCGATGGGAGGAGCTTTTAAGCCTCTGTCTGTGCGGACTCCTGAACCCTTCCACCCACGCCTACAGCCTGCTTTTTAATCTGCCCAAGAATCCGCCTTGAGGTTTCCGTGAAGTAAGGTTTACGTCACTAAGCCCACCTGAATCAGAAGTAGGGAAGGTTCTCTGTAGTTCCTTAGCATGGCTCATTTCAAAAAATATAAACTTGGACTCTAAAGTCTCAGGACCTTTGCCAACTTTGCTGTGACAGCAGAGCCCACCTCAGTTGTGCCTGTTTCCCCAGTGGTGAGAGGAGCAGAGTCCTTCCACTGCCTCCCTCATGGGCCATACTAACCGCATGGTGCCCATGAAATAGGCTTTGGAGACAGTCAGTATTTAGCACACTTGCTTTCTCTACCAATGACCTAAGGGTTTATGGAGAAGCCATTTACCACCATGCAAGCAAAGTCCCCTCCCCCAGTGTCACACGTGTGGAAAAGTCAGCAGGGCCTCCCTGTGTGCAGTCGGCCCCGCCCCGAGCTTCTGCCCGGCAGTGATGCGCCTTATGCAGGCAGGCCGGGCAGCCTTTGCATCAGCCCCCAGGTGAAGTCTGTGTTGGTGGAGAGGCTGCTGGCCCGCCACAGGGATGGCGGAAGAAAGGCCCAGGGTCGTTTATAGACGGGCTGCTTTCCGAGGAGCAGCAGAAGCCCGCGGCAGTGAACACTCTGTGCCAGGCTGCCGTGCGCTAACCTCATGGTCTTCTGCATTTTGGCCTCCAGATGGAAACATCGCCAGCGAAGACAGCTCCCTCTCGGACGCCCTTGTTCTCGACGATGGTAGGTCCCCTGTTTCCTGTCTTAAAGGGTGGGACACAGATTCAGCAGGTTGGTCGTACAGAGTCTGGGGACAGCCTCCTGTGAAGGAGAGCCCCAGGCTGAGGCCGGCCGCCAGCGCCGTCACCCCTCAGCGTCCCCGCGGGTCCTGTGAGTGGATGGCTCTCTGCACCAAAACCGTGTTTATGGGGCTTCAGGGTCTCTTGGGCCCAGAGGTGAGGTTCAGGGTGACACTCAGTGAACGGTGCTTCACCTTGTAGTGGCCAAAGCCACATTTTCAACTGAGCAGGGAGCCCGTACTCTGCGCGTAGGTTCCTTTTGCGTGTTCCTAATATTAGAGGGAGAGGCAGAAATGGACTTGGATCACAGATCAAGGACTGGCATCCGATGCGGGGATCCGAGGGCAGCAGAAGCAGGCAGACCGAGTCGAGTCTGTCTCTCTCTTAGACAGAAGTAATGAAGGAGGGCGAGATGTCCCGGTAGACACAGGCCCAGGCCTCGCCCACTGTCTTCTTATTGCTGTTCGCTTCTCACACCTGGCTGTTCCCGGAGTATTTTCTTGGGCAGTGCTTAGAAAGCCAGAGCTGAGCCCCAGCCCACCCTCCCACCACCCGCTGCAGAAGCAAGATTCCAACACAGCCACATCTGAGAACGTTCCTGCAGACGCTGGACCAAAATGTTGGGAGGCCTTAATTATAAGGAAATATATTAAGTGGCAGTTAATTTTCTGCCCTTTAGAGAAACCTCAGGCGGGCAGTGATCAGTGGCTCTTCAGATGGAAACATAAAAGGCCTACCAAGTCAGAGTAATAAGGGTAATTGCAGTAATAGTAATGATTGCTTGTGATGTGGGGAAGTCTGGTGAGTTATTTACCTAGCTGCGGTGGCCCTGTTATTAGAAATTAGATTATGTTTTTACTGTCTGCTTCATTACACGGAGGGGGGACATGGTCTCCCAGGGCGGGGGTGGCTTGCTCTGAGTACCAAGACCCCAGCAACCCTTGGGGTTGGCCTAGGTGCCCAGTGTTCTCCAGGAAGGGACAAGACCCAGTGAGAGAGATTTCCCTGGTGAGAGCAGAGTTGGCCGAGCAGCAGATGATGTCATCAGTTAACTGTAAGACATCACAACGGTGACTGTGTCCCCCCAGCCCCAATCCCAGGCCTCCCTGGGGTGTTATCACCCGCTCGGTGCCGAGCGCTCCTGCTGTGGGCCCTCTTTCTCGGGTCTCTTCCTTTATGGATCTGGGGGGAGAGGAGCGGTACAAGCTTAGCAGATGTCCCGGCTCCAAGGTCGGGACTGGATTATCCTGTGCAAACTGGAGTCATTGAACAGATTGAGGAGCCCATCAGAGGTCATTGGGGTCCTCCTGCCTCTCCCATGGCCAACCTGCCAGATGAGTGGTCCTCAGTGGACTCTCACCCGCACCTCCATGCCGAGCAAAGTACAAGGTCTTCGTGTGGCTCAAGGACAAATCCAGCTCCCCTGGCTGGGATCCCAGGCCCTGGCCTGCTGGCCACTCCGCCCCCTCCTCACCAGCCGCTGCCACCTGGATGTCCCTGGTGCGCACGTGCCCTCCTGGCCTGCACCAGCTGGATGCTCTGCCCTCGCCCTCGAAGGCCACTTCCGGACGGGCCTCCCACCGATGGGCTGGGCCTGCTCCGGAACTGCTCTGCACTCAAGTTAGAGCCACACGCCCGAAGGCCAGGCAGAGCAGCCCTTCTCCTTCCAGAGCCTTTAAGGCAGTTCCATAGTTAAAACTTATTAGAACCGGCTAAAAGAAAACACGGGTCCAGACCCGCCCACAGACACCACACCTGATGCACCCGCGGTAGGGTGCCGACCTCCTTATGTCTCCTCCAGCTGATGTCTGCTGAGCACCCACTGTCGCTGCGATGGCGCCCAAGGCTGCAGCGCTGACCGGAGCAGGCGAACCTCTGGAGCTTGCTCTCCCAGAGTAATCAGATGCTCGGTGTCTCCTGAAAGCCAGGCCGGGGCTGGGGAACCCAGGACTCAGTGCCTGCTCAGCTTGCTCAGACCCTGGCTCTGCCCCCAGCACCAAGAAGGAAATGTAGAGTTGCCATAAATAATTTCATTTCCCTGTTTGGCGTGAAGCAAGCGTTTGCTGATGGTGTAATTAAGATTCAGACCTCACTGATGTGTAATCAGAAGCTGCACCTCAGCGGAAGGGGTGGCACACACCCGGAACCCCAGCACTCTGGGAGGCTGAGGCAGGAGGATACCAAGTTTGAGCCCAGCCTGAGTAGTGACTTAGGGAGACACTGTCCACAAATTTTACAGTAAATAAGTAGGGCTGGGGTCGTAGCTCGGTGCGCAGGCCCCGCGTTCAGCCCCCAGCACCACTCTTGCACGCACGGGACGCCCCCCCCCCCCCGTCTGATTGTGCCTGGGGCCCCGGTCTGGCTCAGTCTGGGCCTGCCTGACGCCCGGGAGTGGGAGCGAGCCGCCTGCAGCCGGGGCAGCGCGGGCCGCGTCCGCGGACAGGACGCCCTCTCAGCCGCTCTTTCCGTCTCTGCGCAGAAGACCCTGCGGTCACCAGCGCAATGTCCCCCTTACAGTCTCCGCACAAGGGACTCCCCCCGCGGCCGCCCGCGCTCCACAGGCCCGCGCCGCCCCAGTCCCTGGAGGGCCTGCGGCAGATGCACTTCCACCGCGGCGACTACGACAAGTCGCCCGTCAAGCCCAAGATGTGGAGCGAGTCCTCCCTGGACGAGCCCTACGAGAAGGCCAAGAGGCGCTCCCCGCACGGCCACGCCCAGGCCGGGTGAGTCGGCCCGGCCGCCGTGCGCGCGCCCTCTGCCGCCCAGGCGGGGCGGTGCAGGGCTCGCAGCCGGCGCGGGCAGGCGGCGCCCGTGGTGTCGGATTCCACGGGGATTAATCCGGGAATCGTAGGCAGCGCCACTCCACAATGGCAGTGAGGCTGCTCCGGAGGTCCCAAAGGGGCTGGGACTCGAAACGCCCCCCAGCCCGGCGCCCGAGCCACGGTCCGCTGCACGGTGTCAGCCGGGTCCTGGGCCAGGGCCGCGCTTCAGGCTCCTCCGGTTTCCCAGCCCCTTTCGTGGCACTCTGAAAGCGCCAAGGGCCCAGCGGGAAGCGTGCACCTCTTGGAAAGCGGCGCTGCCCACGGTGCCCATGGAGGGCGGGCGGGGGGCAGAGGCCCAGGGCCTGCGGGACCGGTGGGGCCGAGCGGGCGCCTGCCGTTGGTGACAGCGCTTCCCTCTCGGTCCGGTCCGCAGCAGCCACAAGCGCTTCCCCAGCACCGGGAGCTGTGCGGAGGCAGGAGGCGCCAGCCCGCTGCAGAGCAGCCCGGTCCGCGGCCTGCTGCACTGGAACTCGCAGTCCAGCATGCCGTCCACCCCGGACCTGCGCGTGCGGAGCCCTCACTACGTCCACTCCACCAGGTGAGTGCGCCTGAGGCCTGCCTGGGCCGAGCACTGGCTGCGAGGCCTCCGCCCGCCCGGGCACCCTGTGCTCCGGGCTAGCTCGGTGAATGCATACCAGCCGGAGAAAAGGGCAGCAGCTAGGGCGTCGGAGCGTGCCTCGTTCATCCTCTAGAGCCAGAAGCCCGTCTCGGCGGCCACGGGGCAGGGACAGGGCGGCCACCGAGCGGGTCGGGGCGTGGGGCAGGCCCGTGTCGGACTTGCGCCTGCACGGCCGGCTGACGGGGCTTACCGTCCCGGGTGGCGGGTCCCTTCTGTCCACAGAACCCTTTTCTCCGCCGTCGTTTTCATTCCGTGCTGTCCCGGGCACCTGCGCGGGGCGGGGTTCACTCGGGGAAGCCCAGCCCGCGCTGGAGCCCACTCCGGGTCTGAGGAGGCCGGCACCGCCTGGCTCCGGGCGGTGCCGCCCCCGACCGCGCCCCTCTCCCGCAGGTCGGTGGACATCAGCCCCACGCGCCTGCACAGCCTCGCATTGCACTTTAGGCACCGCAGCTCCAGCCTGGAGTCCCAGGGCAAGCTCCTGGGCTCGGAGAACGACACCGGGAGCCCTGACTTCTACACCCCGCGCACCCGCAGCAGCAACGGCTCAGACCCCATGGACGACTGCTCGTCGTGCACCAGCCACTCGAGCTCCGAGCACTACTACCCGGCGCAGGCGAATGCCAACTACTCGACGCTGGCCGAGGACTCGCCGTCCAAGGCGCGGCAGCGGCGGCGGCAGCGGCAGCGCGCGGCGGGCTTGCTGGGCGCGGCGCCCTCGGGCAGCATGCCTGACCTGGCGCGCGGGGCGGCGGGCGGCGTGTACCTGCACAGCCAGAGCCAGCCGGGCTCGCAGTACCGCATCAAGGAGTACCCGCTGTACGTGGAGGGCGGTGCGCCCGTGGTGGTGCGCAGCCTGGAGAGCGACCAGGAGGGCCACTACAGCGTGAAGGCGCAGTTCAAGACGTCCAGCTCCTACACGGCCGGCGGGCTGTTCCGCGAGGGCGACGCGGGCCGCCTCACGCCGTCGCGCTCCCAGATCCTGCGGACTCCATCGCTGGGCCGCGAGGGCGCGCAGGACAGGGGCCGCGCCGCGGTGTCGGACGAGCTGCGCCAGTGGTTCCAGCGCTCCAGTGCCGCGCAGCGCGAGCCCGGCCGCCTGTCACACGCCAGCTCCGCGTCCTCGGACAGCGGCTCGCAGCACAGCGCCTCCCCCCAGAGCACCTTCGTGGCGCACAGCAGGGTCACCCGGATGCCCCAGATGTGCAAGGCCACGTCAGGTGAGCGGGCTCCGCCATCGGCCACCCCGTGCCAGCTGCCCCCACCAGGGGCCACCCGGTCCCGAGCAGCGACTCGGTCCAGCCCCAGCCGAGCCGGTTCCTCCCGGCGCTGCAGCCTGCGCCCCAGTGCTTGGAGCTTGCGTGCCGAAGGGAGCCGGACTCGGGCCTGGCTGTGGTGGGGAAGACCCCAGGCTGCTGCCCCTCCTGTTCTGACCCGGGCCTGGCGGAGTGACAGGGCTGAGCTTCCTGGGCGGATGCAAACCATCCCGGCCCTCTCCCCGTCAGGTCAGGACGGGCGTCCGAGTTAGGTCTGGGGTTGTATCCAGCCAAAGGAGGGCCTTTCCCGGGAAGAGAACCTCCGTGGTTCGGTACCCGCCCCGCGTACAAGGCTGGCGGTGGCGGTGGCATGGGCGTCAGAGCCCCAGGCCGGCCAGTCCGCAGGTGGGAAGGAGAAGGTATACCCGAATTGCTCCCCCGCTCCTTCCTGTGTCTCCATTTCAGCGATGTTACCACGCAGCGACCAAGCAATTCTTACAGTGTTTCTAGGGCCCTTGACATTCTGTCTGAGACTCTTCATAGCCCAAGCTTGACCCATGTATGTATATCTGTGTTTTTTGAGACAAGGCCTCGCTCCGCAGCCCAGGCTGGCCTTGAACTCACTCTGTAGCCCAGGCTATCCTCCAACTCGCAGCAATCCTCCTGCCTCAGCCTCCTCAAGTGCTCAGATTACAGGCGTGTGCCACCTCCCCTGGCTGTCCTGCATTTTTGTACTCAGAGCAGCAACTGAATGAGTTTGAAAGTGGGAGAAACCATTCTTTCCGTTTGGAAGTTTCAGCGGTGTCTCTGTAAACAGCGGTGACAGTGACCAGCATGGCCTGTGCAGTTCGCGGGCGCTGCTGTGTCGCACTCCTCCGCACTCAGCACCCCTGGGGAGCAGCGAAGGGCTGTTCTGCACCATGCGTGCTTTCAGGCAGATGTGATGAGCACTTCGAGGATACAAGGGAAACGAAGGAGCGGAACTCCACGCCAGGAAACCCGCTCGCTCCAGTGAGAGCACAGATGGGGAAGAGGTGGTTGAAGGTCATGGGGCGGATCTTTGGGGACTGAAGGAGGACCTGGCTGTCCAGTCCGCAGGCTCCGCACTTCGCCTCCCAGACCCTGAGCTGCTCAGCCACGCTGGGCAGAGGGGGCTCCGGGAGGAAGTGAAAGCCGCTGGGCAGTGGCAGTCCCATGAGCACCGACCCGTAGCCCTCCTCACGGGCCTTTCCTATCCGGAAAACCAGGCCATGCACTTCCCGGGAAGATGTGAGTGCACTACGGGCCCCATGCAGAGGGCATAATGGGCCGAGGAAAGCGGCCCACAGCTGAAATCCCCACTACTCCGGAGGCTGAGGCAGGACGGTCACAAGCTCAGGTCCAGCCTGGGCAACTTAGGCCCTGTCTCAAAATAAAATAATAGAAAAGGGCTGTAAATGGAGTTCCGCAGGAGAGCACCTGTCCAGCAGGTGCAGGGCCCTGGCTCAATCCCCAGGACTGCGGAAGGGGTGCGGGTGGGAGCTTGTCCCTGATCCTGTTGGTTGCGACAGTTTGTGTCAGTGGCGAAAGGTCAGAGTACTTACATTGCAGCCAGACTGTGTCGTCGGGGAGACTTGCTTTACTCGACGAGAGCAGGGAGACCTGGGACCTTTCAGGCCCGCCATTCTAAGAAGCTGTGCGGTGGCGGAGCACGTGCTCAGCATGTGTGAGGCCCTGGATTCCATCCCCAGCACCAAGAACCATCTTTTGTTTTTACAAAAAGCTGTCTCTGAGCTGTGGGAAGGATTCCACTGCCGAGACAGCAAAGGATGTGTCTGGGTACAGCAGGAAGCAGTTACTTCCTACTGAACTTTCCCGGCCAGACTTCCGTGTGCCCCCCCCCCCGTGGGGGTGTTAGGAGCCCTGGCCCCTGAGGATGCAGAAGCAGTCACCAGTGAGCTTGACAAGCAGAATGTGGGCTCTCGGGCTTCTTAGGGGCTTCTCCATAAAGGGGGCATAATCTTCAGCCCCCAAATGCCCTGTGCTGTGCCTCCTGCAGGCCAGACACATAGCCCCCTGCTGCAGTCCCACCTGCCCTGGGGTCTTCAGGGTCTCTGTACCTGTCTCCTTCTCCAAAGCCACTTACGGGGGCAAAGCAGGGGCGGAGGATCGCAGGCCACCGGAAGTCTGCAGAGGTGCAGAGTTGTCTCCCTACTATGACTGCACTGGGGACCGCCGACACCCCAGCACAGGGTCCTAGCCTGCAGCCCTGGATGGGGGACCCCTGCCCCAGGTTGGCACAGGCTGGTTCACCTGTCTGACGTGTCTTCTCCCTGCTTTCCTGCAACCCCCGCCCGCAGCTGCCTTACCGCAAAGCCAGAGAAGCTCAACGCCGTCGAGTGAAGTTGGAGCCACCCCCCCAAGCAGTCCCCACCACGCCCTAGCCTGGCAGACGGGGTGAGTCCGCCCTCCCAGCTTCCAGATGGGGTCAGCAGGAGGTCGCCAGCACCCCAGCCTGGGGCGCGCTGTGGGGAACCTGCTTCCTTTCCAGAGAAACCCTTCTGGCCCGCTCCTTCTGCCTCTCTCTCCTTTAGGGGTGAACTTGGTGTGCGCTGTTTCAAAGTAGGCAGTGGCGCCTGAGACGCGGGCAGGTGGAAGCGGAAGTGGGATTGTGTTTCTTTGACCAGCATTCCAGGCAGCGGTTGCTGGGGTTGAGAGGATACCCAGGCTGATTAAACTGCCAGGCAAGACTGTCAGCGGGGAGAGGGAGACGAGCCCCCCTGTGCCCACCCGGCCCCTCGATGTCTTGATGGTCAGAAGGCAGCTTAAGACAAAAGGCTTCTGTCCAGTCTCTGTGGTTGTTCTTTATCAAACTAACGAAGGGGACCAGGGACCCTGGGATCTTTAAGCAGAACCTTAAAACCCGGAAGTCAGCTCCTTCCGTGGCTACAGACGTAGCCTAGGTACAGTCTGCATCCAGCTGGGACGCTCCGTCCGTCTGCCAGAGGGCCCAGGGGACCGGGTAACTGCTTTGTGCTACAGCACGTGCCTCGCCTGTCTCTGAGTCACCCCTCTGAGTGGATGCAAACTGTCAGAGGGGCAAGGGGTCCCCACGGTTTCTGATCTGCTGGCACATCTGAGGGGGCACCTGGAAAGGGCTGGCAGCTGCCTGTGAGCTGCATCTCGAGAAAACCACAATCCCAGTCGGCTCCACCGCTGCGTTTCAGGCCCGCGCTGATTTCCGTTCCTGAGAGTTTATGGCACTTGTTTTGCCCCAGCCTTTCTAGTCTCAGTCACGGGATAAGGGGCTGACATTCATTGAGTGCTTGCTGTGTGCTGACAGGCTGGAAGCTGCTTCTGACATCCATGAGTTCACGTAATCCTCGCTCTCCCTTGGCAAGAAGACTGTCTGGGTCTTTTGATTCTGTAGCTGGGGATCAGAGGCCATGACAGCCTCGCCCCAAGTCATGCCCATGGAGTCTGTGGCCCGAGACTTTGTCCATTTCTACTATGCTAGTGGTTCCGAAAATGAGGACCTCGCACCAGCAGCACCAGGCCCACTTGGAATCTTCTCAGAATAACATTCTCAGTGCCCTTACTGAATCAGAAACTGGGGCTCCCTCTGACACCCCCTTAACGTGGCAGCCGTGGAACTGTGCCATGCTGCCTCTCAGTCCCTTTCAATGAAGGGCATCTGTGGTCCCAGCGTTAGCGTTCCTCTGTCCGCGCCTGCTTCTCGTCCTGTCTTTCCCAGCAGCTGCCTCTCTGTCTACAGCACACCATTCACACACGCACACCCCCACTGCCCCAGCTCAGTCCTGGGGCCAGGCGGCCTGGCAAGGCTGAGGGTCCAGCGGTGTCCCCAGGATTCACAGGAGAACTGCAGCGGCGGAGCTGTCTCAGCCAGTAGGACACTCCCGGTCTCTGGGTACCTCTGCCCATGCCCAGCGAGCCAAACTCACGCGTTATGTGACTGGCAGTAGGCCCCGAAACAGAACCCCTCACTCAGGTCGGCCTTGGGGTTTGCCAGTTTTACCACCAGATTTGCGAATGAGGACTCAAGACAAATTTGAAACCAAAAGGTATTTGGGTCCTTGAAGTCGCTTTCGCCAGTTTGTGCTGGGCTATCATTAACAGACAATAACATCTGATGAAAAGCAGGGCAGGCACAGGAAAGCGAGCCGCCTGTCCGCCCAGCGCGGTGGGAAGCTCGGCGTGGCCTCCTGCCCGGCCCCTGCTGTGGGTCCTCCCGTGTGAATACGCTACTAATGGTGTCCGTGTGGCTTCCGCTCTAACACGACCTCTCTTCTCTTCCTCTTCCGCCTTCCTCTGCTCAGAGAAGCCTCAGAAAGCCCACCCATCCTGCATGGGTCTGTGTCTGCAGCTCACCACAGCCCCGACGCATAGAGGTACCGTCAGGGCGGGCCGTCTGCCCGCGTGTGTCCCAGTCCCAGCTGTGTGCTCGGAGGTGTGGCCTTCGCCGGGCCCTAACTCCCACAGGGAAACATCTCGGGGTGTGGAAGCCGTTATTTCTGTGTCTCGTTTCTGGACCCATGTGGAACTGTGCGTTTTCATGTGTTCTAACGTCAGAGGTTGGGTGTTCCCAGTGGCACTTCCCACAAGAGACCCCCGAAGCAGTGTCGGGCCTTCTGCGCCGCTGTGTGCAGACAGATATCTGTAGAGGTTTTTTGCTGGCTTAGTAATCTGGGTCCACGAAGTTTCAGAAGGCCAAGGTCAGAATGAGTTGATCCAGAAGCACCCAGATGTCACCTGTCATCCCATCTCACATCACATGACAGCGTGTGCTGTGCCAGACACGGTGGGCCTGCTCTGCAGAAAGTCTGTGCCAGTGCCTTCCCCACAGAGCCCCTCGCAGTGCCCGCTGCGCTGCCTACCGCTGCCACCGCAGATGCTCAGCAGTAACCTGGCCTGATCCCTGGCCTGGGCACCCAAGCTAAGTCACTGACTGCATGGTTCTGAAATTAAACCGCATTTTAAAGGCTACCTAAAAAGACAAGACACCATGCACAGGCAGATAAAAAGTTGTAAGTTTAGAGCCGGGGATGGAACTCAGTGGCACTGCACCTACCTGGCAAGCGCAAGGTCCTGAGTTCGATCCCCGGTTCATTGGATTAAAAGAAAGAACCCATATTCCACATAGTTATTCCAGGGACCATGCGAGAGACAGAAGCTGCAGTTGAAGTTCAAGTCAGCAGTCTGGAAATTATCAGGAGATGGGTGAGGGGAAGTGGCAGCAGCTGTGAGTCCATTAAGGGCCGTGAGACCTCAGGTCAGAGTGCTGCAGAGACTGAGGCAGGGCTCAGGTGGAGGCCACGCTGCATGACTCTGGCGGGGGTCGGGCTACACAAGGGTGCCCAGGGAGGCTGCCCAGGCCGCACACACCCGTGCAGGAACACGTGGCTGCTCGAGGACAGCAGTCTTGTTTTGCTGTAGAAAGAGCAGAACTTCAGCCTGAAAAGTGGGGAAGGACACGATCACGGAGCAATCAGGAAAGATGCGAACGAACAGTGTGCAGTCAGCAGTCAGGGACGAGGAACGCAGGGCCCAGCCTTTGAGCGGGAGATGGGCACCTCACTCCCTGCTGGAGGCAAGAGACAGAGAGGGGCAGTAGCGTGAGAGCAGCAGCTGCCCACCCGCCCTGTGGTGGACAGAGCCCCTGCCGAGGGCGCTGGAGAATGACACTGCTTTGAGGCGGTGGTTGAGCCCAGTGCGCGTGAAGTGATTCTTCTCAAATGCGTGCTGCCCATGCCCACGGCAGGGAGGCCGGACCTAGAGGCCCCGTCTGGTCTGCCTGGCTCTGTGACCCCTGCAGCATGTTCTGCGTCCCACCCACTGGTTTTGTAAGTTAAATTTTATTTCTTGTTAGTAAGATATGGTGAGAAAGGGTTGCTCAACATTCAGTAAGCGAGGAGGATAAGCCATTGATGAAACACACACTTACAAAATCAATTTATTAAATTTATTTATTTATTTATTTTCCCGTGCGGGGGATCAAGCTCAGGACCTCATGCTTGCGAGGCAGATGTGTTGCCACTGAGCTACATCCCTGGCAATTTATACAATTTTTAAGTCGTTTTGTTGAAATCCCTCCCCACAAGATCTCACACTCACACTCTGCCCACCTCCCGTGCCGAGCAGGTGTGAGCCACAGCTCCGCTAATGGTGAGGGAGGTGTGCATTCCCTGTCTGGCTCCAGATCAGAGGCCTTGGCTGGGCCAGCACCGAGGGCAGGTTTGTCCCAGAGAGGGCCAGATCACATTTTTATCAGCAATGGATTTCTATTTCTAAGAAACTATTTAAATGTGCTGGTATTAGTTGTTGATCAAAATAAGACCAGTTCAGCAAGCTTAAGCACGTAAGTGTGCATGTTGGCAGGTGTACCTGGGAAGCGGAAACTAGGCCAGGGCTCGGCAGGCCTCCTTCCATCCATAGCTCTGCTCCCAGTAGCCTTGTGTGTTGGAGGAAACCATGTCCTTGTAGCTTCAGAGCCGCTCGGCCTGGCTTGGCTACCTCTGAGCAGTGGCTGTGGCTGAGGGCGCTCACTGCAGACCTGGGACCCATGCCGCGAACGTGTGCCGTGGCTGGAGGGCACTGACCCCAGCGGAATAACACATGGCCCCTGCAGGGCCAGCTGTCTTTCCTGTAGGAAGTTTCTCAGCCCCTCGGTCGCACTGCACAGGTCAGTTCCGTCAGGATGCGGAGAACATTCATTCAAGGGAGGATGTAACAGAATCCTCCATTTACCACCTAAACAGACACCATGGCTGCTATCCTATGAGGGCGTCTGGTTCTTTCGCCTCAGAAACCACATTTACGCAGAATTAACCCAGTGTATTTCCAATGAGCCAAGCTCAAGACTCATTAAAATCTACCTAGGAACTGTCTAGTGTTCAGGGACTTTTTTTTAGGCCAGGTGAGAAACATTTACAAAGCACCTTCGTCCATTCACCCCTAGAAAAGTCAGCAGATGAGACAGAAAAGAGGAGAATGACTGATTCTTGTCAGTGTAAACTGGTTCGAGAAATGTTTAAGATGTTCTTAAACTCCTCAAATCTAATCTGTTATTTTTAAATTTTGTATTAGTACATGCTCACGGTCCGTAACATCTACACGCCTCGTGCGGAGTTGGTACTCTCTTTTTCTTTGACCGTGTTGGATGGGGGTCTGTTCCTGACACCCAGCCTCGATGGTGTCCCCAGCGATGGGCACGGGGACATCAGCTTCAGGGAGGGGAGTGGAGGAGCTGGTTTGGGGTCGATGGAGATGAGCCGCCGCCCCTAATCATGATCCCTGGGAATAACCCTTGGCTTCAGCATGTCTGGGTTCATTTCTTAATCTTTAAGAATTACCTCTACCTGGGGGTGGGGACTTAGCTCAGCGACATTGTGCCTGCCTCGCAAGTGCAGGGTCCTGAGTTCAATCCCCGCTACCACACACACAAAAGAATTACTTCTACCCAATCTCAGGTGTGATGCCTACTTGAAATACTTTTTTGGTTTTGGAAGCCTTTTATTTCCTTGTGTAAACTTTCCTGTATATTTTATTTTTGTTTTGTTTAGTTTTGGGGGGTTTTTTGGTTTTGGTTTTTTCAAGACAAGGTCTCGCTATTAGTTCAGGCTGGCCTTGAACTCACTGTGGAGCCCAGGCTGGCCTCGAACTCACAGCAACCCTCCTGCCTCAGCCTCCCAAGTGTTGGGGTTACAGGCGTGTGCCACCACGCCCAGCCACTTTCCTATGTATTTTATTTTTTGGCCCTAGGGATAGAACCCAGGACCCTGTGCGTACTGAATACGACTGAGCTACACACCCAGCCCTCCCTGTATATTTTAAAGAAATTCTTTTTTATAGTGAAAAGTACATGTGATTTAGAATAAAGAGCGTTGGAACTCGATTCAGAATATCACCTCACTTGCACTGTAGGGAAGCTTCACACTCAGAACATCTTTCTGGGACGGAGTGAAAATCCTCCGGTGAAATCTGGTCCCCCTCGGGTCTCATGGAGGCAGCTCCGTCACGGTCCTGGGGAGAAGCCGTCCTGAGGAGCACAGCCCAGGGGCAGCCAGCCCGGCTGCATGGAGCCGCTCGGGGGAAGCTGAGCACCCCAGGCCAAGTCCCTCGCGGGTTCCCTGGTGACTGGGACGTGAGCCTTGGCTTGCGTTCCCCTCCGCCCCAGGTTCCGGGTGCGGGTCCCCTCTGCCTGGGCTCCGCTGTCCCGTGAGCGCTCTCCTGGGGGGTGGAGGGTGCCTGCCGCCCTCCCTGGCCCTGCACCAGGCCCCTCACTGCTGGTCTCCCTTCTCGATCCCCGTAGGAGCTACAGTGACAGCTGCTTCCCGGATTCCTCCCTCTATCCAGAACTAGCAGACGTCCAGTGGTACGGGCAGGAGAAAGCCAAGCCCGGGACCCTCGTGTGAGCCAGCCCGGCCCGCTCTGACCTCACTGCCTCTGTCTGCCTTACCCAGACGTACCGTCACCTGCACCAGCCTCGGCCCTGAGCACTGTTCCTCTTCGTCTCCGTGCCCCCTTCACCCTCGGAAGCCTGACTGAGGAGACATTCGGGAAGCTTCCGGTCCCACTGTGTCCCTGGGCGCTGTCATCCACAGAGGGCCAGACAGCAGTCCTCAGTGGCACCTTGGTGGCTCCCCCAAGCCAGGAGCTGTCGGGGTCTCTGGCTGGCGTGACACTCCCGCGGACACGCAGCACTGGCGGAGAACACGGAGGGAGACCAGCCTGTCCTCATCAGCCGGCCAGACACTTCGGAGAGGCGGGATTCCCCGGAACGTCCTAGTGAGCCGGCCTGGGCGTGCGTGCGGGCGGGTGGGCGAGCGAGGGAGGGAGCCCAGCACTTCCAAGCTGCATTAGGACCAGCCAGTTCTGCGCTGCCAAAGATTAAACAAAAGCGAACTGAGGAAGCGGCCAAGACGGAGACTTTCTCTCCGCAAGGAAACTTCTTTGCCATTCCAAAGCACGCCTGCACACCACAAGCGGAAGTCAGCCATCTGCAAATCTCGTCCTCATGACCCCCTCCCTGGCAGCCCACTCCTTCCCCACGAGGCCCTGCACACCGACCCCACTTAGCTGTCCGGACACCAAGCAGAACCGACCATGGGGAGGAGCCCGCTGTGCAGGGCTCAGCCGCCCACCCGAGAGCCCTGGAGGTCTGTAGGCGCATCGCTGGACAGCCAGTAAAAGCGTAACCTATTTTTTGCACAAGGCATTTCGTTTCCTTCTATTTTATGGGAAACCAAGGGAAAAGCACATTGCAACCCATTCGCGTGTTTACCTGTCGTGGCTCATTTTATGTTTGTCAGCACTTGTGTGGCCAAGAGCTCAGATGCGACTTCTGGCCAACTCTGCCCTTAGGCAGGAAGGTCTTACACGTCTGCTAGCCAGTGGGCAGAGCAGGGTGGACAAAAACTCAGCTCCCGAAAGGCCCGCACACCTACAGCAGCATCTGTCACCGCGGTGCAACACCCGAGTCTGCAGACACCAAGGGGGCACAAGAAGGAAGCAAACGTGCAGGAGCTGCTCCTTTACCTGTGTTTTGAGCTGTGCTTAATACACAGCCGTGAAGCCATCAGTCTGCAAAGGCCTCAGAGGACTTCTCTGCTAACTAACAAGTGCCCGATCTCAGTCGGGTCGCTCGTGAAGGCACGTGAGGGTCTCGTGCAGGTGGCGCGTGGCGCTCGCTCCTTGGCGCAGTTGAGGGTGCGGGTTCTCCTCGGTTCCGACTTCCTGTTGGGAAGGCATCTGCCGGCCAGGCCCGGGACGGGACGGGAGCCAGCGTGGGGCTAGTTTTGTGGGGAAGCAGAACTAAAGTTAGCTGTAGCATCAAAAGGGAAATCCTTGTTTTTCATGTGTGCGGCATCCCAGAGTAACAAGAGGCTCCCAGGCCAAGCGGGTTAGGATGGTCGCCCACGAACTCACTGCCCTGCTGCGCCCCACCTGTGCGGCTGGGCTCAGTGCGCCCCGGAAGGAGCGGAGCCTCCACGGCGAGAGTGGGCCCCAGGCGGGCGCACCTCCTGCATTTCTCTGCAAGACCCCAGGCCAGTGCCTGGCTGGGCACAGCTGGGCTGAGGATTCCAGCTGTGGGAGGGACCTGGAGTGTCCCGGGACGGACACTCCAGGGGCAAACTACGGGATTAACAGAAGTTGGCTGCGGTGTTACCAAGTGAATCCGGGGCCTGACTGGGGCGGGGGGGGGGTGCTTTTATTTTGACAGAGCTTTAAAGAGCAGATTTGTGAGTCTTAGAGGGGGTGGGTTCCCCCTTCTCCATTTGGAAACATACATTGGGTCATTCTCCTTTTCCCAAAAGGAGACACATGAATAATGAGACTGAACTGTGCGACAGGAAAAGTCAAGAGGGAGTGGAGAGGTGACAAGCTCACACGGCTATGGGCTGTCCGACGTGTGCAGTGACTGGGAACCGAGTTGCAGTAAAGCGGGCCACGCTTTTAGCCCAGTTCACGTGCAGGATGAGGAGGAATTCCTGCAAACATTCAGATTACATTTTAGATCTGGGGGCAGAAGGAATGGAGTGGGAGCAGGAGTCACAGTTCCAGCAAACATCATGAGTCTGTTAGTAAAGACGGAGATTTAAGTAAAACAGGTTTTACTGTTTGGCTGTGTTGTTAGTGAGATGTACATAGCACGTTAGCCCCCCAAGACTAACAGGATCAGTGGTCAGTGCGGTGGGACATGCTGTAGTTATGTATACAAGCACTTGCAAACTCTTTATATCCCTATTTCTTTAAAACAAAGTAAGACGGAGTATGAGGCCCTGGTCTGACAGACAGCAAACCCTGTTGGTGAGAAGCCGCCTGTTAGCCCGTCTGGTGAAGATGCTAACCGCAGACTGTGTTGTGAGCGAGGTCCTTTTGTTTTCATTGTTACACGCAGGTGAGTGTTGGAACTGTTAAAATCCCCATCTGTTTTCATTCAGTTAGTTTAGTTCTACACATAGCAACCCCCCCCCCAGGTGCTATCTGACGACCAATTACTGCTTAGGTAACTAGGTGTGAAGTTTTACATACCCATTAATGTCAATAGTTTATTACAAGTTGTGTAAAATGGACTCTGATCATGGGAAAAGATTAGGTTGCTCCTGAGACTGACTGTAGAGCATGTAAAATGATTTACTGGGTTCTGTTCCGCTGTCGTCAATGAAAAAAATGTATGTTGTAGACAAAGTTGCAGAATTAAAAAGAAATCTGCTTTTAATTTATTCTTTTTGTATTAAGAATTTGTATAGTACCTTTACATTTTGCAAAAACAGTGTTGTCAACACTTATTAAAGCATTTTCAAAATGAAAAGATTCCAGTTGCCCCTTGGAGATTTTGTTTCTAAGTGATAAATGCATAATCATGCTCCAGGAATCTATAATTTCGGTGCCTGTGTCCTCATTGGGCTTTTTTGTGCCAGGAGTTGAACCCAGGGCCACTGTACCACTGCCGCATCCTAGCCACCCCACCCCCCACCCCCCGAGGGACCCTGCTGGCATAGCCTGGGATTTCAGGAAGCCACCGCCATGCCCCGCTGGCTCATTTATTTTTTATCATCAACCTACGCTTAGCGTTCATGTTGCCTTACTAGACAATGAAGACAGGTTTAGGAAACCTCTTACTCTGGTTTCCTTTTGTAAACGATACAGGATAGTAGTGTAAATCATGTATTATTTTTAATATGTAAAGGCTCTGAGATTAGAGGTCAGTCCTGCAGGACATTATTTCGTTATTTGTGCTGTCGTGCATACTGACCCACAGGATGGCCCATGGTAGGAGGACTCCACGAGGTGAGGGCTGCGACTGGTCCTAGTCTGTCTCCGTGGTCTCCCGTCTGCTGTGGGATCAGGAATCTCCCTAGATGCCCAGGCCCTTTATGACCACTCCTGTTCACCCTGTGTGCCCCGCTGCTCAAGTCCCCTGGCCCATCCAGGTTGTAGCTCCAGAGCGACAGGCTCCGGGCTGCAGGCACAGCCCCTGGCCCTCATCGGGGAAGCTGCAGGAAACTGGGTCTGGCTCCAGAACTCCCTGCAAGGCGAGCCCTTGCTGCACACCAGCCTGTGAGCACAGGCTGGCTGACGGCACCTAGAAAGGAAAAGGATCTGCTGAGAATCTGGATCCACTGGACCCAGTCTGCTGAGCACCTCAGCCCTGACGGTGGCCTGGGGAGAGCCTGGAGCCCGCTTTCCCCCTACATCTCAAAATAATCTACGCCAAGAGGTGAAGTGTGTGCATGTCTTTCACGTGTAATGTGGCACCGCTCAGGTGAGTCTGTGCTCTCCTCTCTGGTTACCTGTCGCAGGAGAGCGGGGTACCAGGAGGCAGCATGGCTGTCCTCCTCCTCCTCCCCACCTGCTGGCCTGCACACACCCCTCCCTCTGACCCGCCTCCCTCTCCGCACAGTGCAAGATGCCCCCCGTCCCCGCTTTGATCTGAGAAGAGTAGACAGCCAGTTCCGGAAGAGAGTATTAGAGACAGCCAGCCCTTGCCTTTCGCCCGGCTCAGGAAGCTCCCTGTAAACCCCAAAGCCAGCAGTGTGTGGGAGCCCCCGAGGCGGACCAGGCAGGAGGCAGGGGCCGCTGCCCCATCAGTGCCACCTCACGTCCCAGCCTCGGAAGTTGATGTGCTCGGGGCGGGACAGCTGGGCCTGCACTGAGGTGACCCATGAAAGGTCACTGACCGTCACGGTCACGGGGAGGAGAGAGTCGCCTCGTCTCGGATGAGATGAACGTGCGGAGCCTCGGGCAGAGGCAGAGGCTGAGGCGGGCGAAGGGCCTGGCTGCAGAACGCCGGAGGGAGAGTGACTGGAGAGTAGCCGACAGCTCCCAGGCGATCCCCGCGCCCGAGTCTCTCTCTAGCAGAAGCCCATCTGTCTCGTTTATTTCTCCCTCACTCACCCACTGCCTCTCAAACCTATTCCAACCACACCTTCCCCACCGGACCACACCCATTCCTGTCAAGGTTGGTTCTTGCAGTGTCAAATCCAGTGGCGAATTCCCGGCCATTTCGTGTTTTACCAGCAATGTGGGATTCGGCTGGCGCCCCCAGCTTCACTGAAACCTCTCCTCCTGGCTCTCTTCCTACCACGGTTCAGGGCTCTGCTTTCAGTCTCGATAGTTTTCCTCTTCTCCCTGAATTCGGAGTGTCCTAAGCCTCCATCCTGGGACCGCCCATTTCCTAGCCATCCATATGCTGCCGACACCTCCTCTCAGCCTGGAACATCCCCAGCGGACGTCTAATGTGTCTGACATCCAGAAGTGAGCTCCTGGCCTGCTCCATTCAGAGCTTTCCTCAGCTTAGTTCCAGGCAGCTCTGGCCTCCCAGCGCTCAGGCCAAAGATCTTGGACTCACATCTGCAGCAGACAAAACGGGTATGAATTCCCTGCCTTACATTACACAGGGGTAAAAGGAGAGAGAAAACAAAGTTGCATAACACATTAGGAAGGGACTAAAAAAAAGCAGGGTCAGTGGGAGATTTAGCCTGTGGCAGGAGGAACTCCGCTTCTGCTACCGTCCCGGCAGGTCGGCAGGATGCTGACAAACGTGGGGTAGACGTGGTGCTCGATCTCCCTCCACGTCCAGCCGGATGCGCGTCAGCCAGGCTACCTCCAAGCGAGAGGGGAGGGAGAGGCTGGTTGAGCCGGCACAGAGCGGTCACAGGCATTAGGGCCACAGCAGCGAGGGTCCCTCTGACGGGACACGCAGAGGTGACTGCCCAGGCGACACTAGCCAGGCATAGCAGAGACCGTGTTTGCAAGACCCATGTGGGTTTTGCCATGGAGGGCAGCAGGAGGACCGCGTGTAGCAGAGCAGGAGGTGCAGGTGAGAGGGACTGGCGCGGCGAGGACGGATCCGGAGGCGAGCGGAAGGACTCGAGACAGGAAAAGGCAGGCTGGGACTCAAGGAGGGCTGAGGGCAGGGCTTCACAACAAGCTTCCCCAGGCCCAGCTGTGCCAAGGGGTGGCGGGGTGAGTCAGCCTAGGGACAGTCCATCCACGCTTCGTGTGCGTGCAAGAGGGGCTGGCCCGTGCAAGCCTGGGCTTGGTGTCCCTGGGTCCTACGGGTCCTTCAGGCCTGTGACACCAGGAAACCAGGATCAAACCAAGTACTTTCACAGACGTGATTTCATGTAAAGTGTTAACCAGGTAGCAGAGGTGAGCAGGCAACATGGGGCCCTCAGGAAAGAGGCAACAAATGGAAGCAGTGTCTATGCTCAGGGCTAGGAAACAGAGCCAAGAGCTCAGGGGCTTGGAGGAGGGCCCTGTGGAGATGGGGTCAAACCTGTCCGCAGTGGACGCCACCCAGCTTGTGCCGCGGGAGCCTGAGACCCACAGAGCTGGGACACAGATCTCTCGGGAGGGTGAGCTGGTCGGCAGGATGAAGCCTGCGAGCTGGAAGCAGCTCCTCCTTCAGGAGTGAACAGGAGCGCACTGTCCCTGTGCAGCTGAACGCTGCCGGGCCACTGCGGTCGGGACAGGGAGAAGCGGAACAGCTGGGCCCCTCTCCCCCTCCAGCTTCCGGCCTTTCAGGTGTCGCTCTTGGTTCGACCTCCCAGATGGCAGCCAGAAGAGCAGAATTGTGGTTTGCAGTCCAGAGGTGTGCTTGGAGCTGAGAGACAGCAGCTTCACCACCTGCACACCTGCTGATGAGAAGGAAGTCGAGACTTCCCTCCCAAGTCTCGGCTCCTCAGCGTCCCTCCAGTTCCTCAGGGTGAACTGAAAGACTAAGTCTGAGACCTCCCGAATCTCCTGCTACCACAGAGAGGACAAACATATTTTCAATTCTTAAAAACTATATAATGGACCCTAAAACCTATGTATCTTGGAGGCCCTGCCAGGGCAACATGAACCAGCCTCAGAAGGAACTGTGGTAATAGCAAAAGGCAGAGCACATCAAGTTACCTTTCCCAAGATGGTCAAATTACAACCATGTATTTCCTCAAACATTGTTCACATCCTTACCGGGCACTCAGAAGAGCTCATTCCTCTGGAAGTCACTTCTCACTTCAATGGACATTTGGAAAGTCCATGAGGAACAAGAGCTAGATGCTTCTATCCAAAGCCTGGATGCCTGAGGATCCTGACACCCGGCCACAACTCCTTCGGCGTCTGCTTCATACTCAGCTGTCCTTGAGCTTCCCTCGACATCAGTTTGATTTGTGGCTTTTCTCTAACTAAAATCATGCTGTACCAGAATGCACAGCACCATTCAAACGAATGCTGTCGGATTTATGTGTATCTCAGGAGAATGCAGCAGAGTCAGATTCTGACACATGCCTGCCAATCCACACTGAGTCTGAAGGCCACGAAGTGTGGCGTGTGTCACTAAGGGATGGAGGTAAAGCAAACAGAATGAAAATTCAACTGCAGCTTACCCAGGGCATGCTCCTATCACATGGATCCTGGAAGAAGGCGGCTGTGATGGTTTTTATGAGCCAATTTGACAGGGACATGGGGTGCTCAGGTACTTGGGTGGACATTATTCTGGGTGTGTCCGTGAGGGTGAGATCAACACTGGGATCGGCAAACTGAGTAAAGCAGGTGGGCACCGTCCATTGGCTGGAGGCCTGAACAGAACAAAAGGGGGTCACTGCCGGAGCTAGGACATTCGCCTCCTCCTGCTTTCTGGTGGAACTTACACCATCACCTCTCCTAGTCTGAAATCCTTTGGGCTTAGACGGGAATTCACACACTGCTCTCAGATTTGCAGACAGCAGGTCACAGGAAGGGACTTCTCGGCCTCCGTAACTGCGCTGATTGTGTAACCACGTAATTACACATATATGCACACAAACCTATGTATCCATATTTCCTGTTGGTTCTGATTCGCCAATAAATCAAGTAAACATCAGAAACCCTAAACTGACTCCATAATGCCACCAAAAAACCAGGCTTTCTCTGGCTCTGCCATCTTCAGCATGTTCTCCCAGGACAGCTGCCGAGGCCTATGCGTCACGACTGCAGGGAAAGGGCAAAGCACGTGTCGGCCAGGGTCGGTCTTTCTCTTAGAAACGCAGGTTTTATGGAAGTCCCATCAAAGAAACCCTAGCCCTCTCTCGTTGGGAGAAGCATATCACAGGCGCAACCACATCCACAAAGGGTCCTATGAGCGAGTAGTTTTAACTGTGCATGATGCAGCTCTGGGTTAGAATTGTACTGCTAAAGAAGAGAAAAATAGGGTTAGCAAAGACAGACACAGGGCACAGGAGCCAGCACACAAGACAAAGATAGTCAAATCTTCAGTAAAGCAATAACCTTACAGGACTAAAATTTAACATAAACTACAAAAATTCACTTTTCCTCTTCTCTCAAACCCTATATTCTTAGGCATGCCATCTGATGACAGCACTAAATAGGAGAAATAATTCCATTCTTTAAAACTGACACGATATTTTATGAAATCTGTCAAAGGTAGCTGATTACGTTAGCCCCAAGCTAGTCATTATTGCCCTGTTGCACACAAAAGTAATCCAGTATATGCCACAGAGTGTAGGGACCACTGCAATCCTACATCTAGCAGAATATACAAAGAACTATAAATCAGTAAGAAGAAGCAGACAACTCCATAGGGAAAAAGTGGGGGTGGGTGGGGATTAGTCGTGAATAGGAACTTCATAAAATAGTCAAATGGCCATTAAACATGAAAAAGGTACTCAACTTTATTGGTCAAGGAAATGCAAATCAAATCTGCAATATGATAACAGTAAACCCACCAGAATGGATAAAATGAAAAGAACAGAGTATATACCAAGTGTGGCCAGATGCGGAATAACCAGGATTCTCAAACGCTTCTCGTGGGAGCATAAACTGGTGCACGCCCCTTGGAAAGTGTGCCAGGATCTCTATGCGTGAATGTACACATACCCTATGTCCCAGAAGACACATCTTGGTATACACCCTACAGAAAGTCGTATTCACCAAGAAATGCACACGAAATGTTTGTGCAAGAAGAAAACACACAGCAATACATGTCACTAACAGCAGAACACACAACTGGGGCTACCAGAGAGAATTAACCCCAGCGGTACGCAACAGGAGGAAGTGTCAGAAACCCCAAACACAACCAAAGAAGTCAAGCGTGTTGTTTGATTCTGTCTGCAAACAGACAAATGGAGGGGGAAAATGACAAAACTAACTTTCCCCTGTCTGGGGAGAGTCTACTACTAGGAATGGGGTTTCTTTGTGATGAAAATGTTCTAAACTTAAGACTGTGACCATAGATGTACAACACTAAAATCGTTTGCTTTAAATGGATAAAAATCATAGCATGCAAATTATGTATCAAGACAGAATTTTGATGTTAGAAATCTGGACCACGGTTGTGACTAGAAAGAGGCACGGATAGATTCCTGGCAACTTAGTAATATTACTTTTCTGATTTGGGTGCTGGTTACTTTGAGAGTTGTTCAGTTTGTGAAAAATTTATGTCATCATACTCTGATTCTCTGTAATCTAGTGCTACTTGGGTCTTCAGAAATGATTTTCAAAGGGCTGAAACCACTTTCCTGCACCAGGCACCATACTGGACTCCCCGTGTCCTCTCCCGCTTTAACTGACCTCCAATTCAGTTTATGACGCCTTGTTTAATGTTGCTTTACTCAACAAGTTACAGCCTTCCCGCACTGCCAGTTTCCTTAGACAGGGCATATGCTGCCTGTTACCTCATTTCTCTCTCTCTGACAAGTCTCATTTTAAATTTAAGAACTGTTGCTTCAGAAGAACTTAGCATTTTAGGTTTTATAACCTGCTAAGTTTCACAGTAAACTTGAGAGCTGAGTGTTACTTCTATATTGGAAAAATAAGAAGAGGTAGAGTCCTTTTTGCCATAAATTCCTCTGACAAGTCATGTCCTTCCTAACTCTGATGATAATTCCTTTAAACCAGTGGTTTTCAAACTACTACTCACGGACCAAGATGTAGCTCAGTGGCACCGTGCCTGCCTGGCAAGCACAAGGTCCTGAGTTCAATTCCCGGTACCACGGGGCGGGGGGGGGGGGAGTTCACAATGGTTGTACACTGAGGTCACAATCAGCATTTTTTAAATAGGAAAATGTCAGGATGCTTTGCTGATAGCAGGGTAAGTGTTTTCAACAGTCATACTGTATATGTAATTGTGTGTAATACTGGTCTCAACACACTATCGTTTGCTGAGTTGTGGTAAAAAAAATTTCCAAAGCGACACCTTTAACTCCTGGTTTCATAGGACAGAACACCTAAGCCAGGTGCAGACTCATGGGTCCAAGTGTTTGTCAGGTCTTAGGGGAAGAGCACTTCGAGGTTTCAGCAGGGCAGGCTGTAAACTGGCGCTGGGAGAGGCAAGAAGGCAGACCTTGGGGACAGCTGAGGAGAGCCCCGAGGGCTGACAGCGGTTTCAGCTGCGCTGTGGTGCTTAGGAGAAGAAAGTAAACAAAAAGAAGTGGCCCTGCTGAGCAGCAACCCCTATCAGCAATGCGAGGATTAGTTTAAGCATTTGTATGAAGAACCTCAGTTTACAATGGAGAAAAAGAAATAAACAGTCAAGCCTTTCATAATAAACTGTTTGGTCAATGTAAAACATTTTCTCTAATGAGCATGGTTCCAAAATCCTGAATGGGGTCACCACAGCTGTTGCTGCTAACCACACTGCATTCCCCTAATGACTCCACACTGCCAGAACTTATTTTTAAATTCTGAAAGACCCAAGGTTACCGTTAAGCATTAAAGCACTAGCATGTGGCTGTAATTCGGCCAAGGACATGCAGTCTGGGATGACAACCAGCTGAAAACCGGACAGTGTTCCCATGGCGACCCTCTGGGACCAGTGCTGGCCCCTCCGGCTCTCCGGACAGCCGGAACTCTTACATCCATGTGCCGTGAGAAAGCTTTCGAGCTGCAGGCTCCCACGTGACACCACGCCATGAACTTCTGTGGGGGGAAGTTATTCTTTTGGGCTTCACGGGCTGTCTGCGGGAGGGAGGACCCACGACCCATTAAGTTACGCTCATCAAGATGTTCAGACAAAGGAAACTACTTCAGGCTCAGCTCCAGCACCTTTACATCCAAACTGCCCCACTCTGCTCACCAGTCCCGCTATGCAAAGAGTGGCTAAGTGGCTGCAAAGGAGCCAGGGACACGAACCCCAAACTCAATTCTACCAGACTCTAACATGCTTTTCTTCATCTTTCCCAAGCTGCTCACTTTCACAATAAATTACTACTTTCCAGCAACAACAACAAAACCAGTTGCATTTCTAAATTATTTACTGAGATAAAACCCCAGTGCTGAAGTAGATCAGGAAACCACCAGAAGGATGAGCTTAACATTAAAAAGTCACAGGGTTATCAAACCTACTTCCCAGGTCTCCAAGTTCTGAGCGTTCAGAGACCGAAGCAAGTTACTAAGATGTCAGTGACAGCCCCCTGCCGCACCCTGCTCTCTGGGCCTCTGCCTCCCTCTTCCACAAGATCCAGACTCCTCTGTCTCTCCCTGTGTGTTCATTCTCTGGCCTCAGCTTTATGCTCCAGAAATGTCCCCAAAGACTGAAATCAGAGCTGTGACTTCCGGATTTCTGCAGACTATCCCAATGGTGTCTCTGCAGTTGACAGCGCCACTCCCAAGGGACACAGACGGCCCCCACCACAGTCTGACTCACAGCTTCCAACTTCCAGTGGTGGGAAAGCAAGCCCCTCAGGAGGAACTGTGCTTGGGGCCTGGCGTCCGATCTCTGCCAGGCCAGTCACTGGAGAGCACTGGCCCCATCTCCCCGTCAGCCCAGTGATGTGCAGGGTGCACACGCGACACTGCTCAGTGGTGCACTGCCTTCAATACAATGCTGAGTTATCCAACACTTACTGAGCAACAGGTTTATTGTTAGGTGGTCCTGTCCACCCATGGGCACACTGAAGGAAGTCTAGGCTAAGCTATGACGAGGCTGGTGGTGGCAAATGCATTTTCAGATTGCAGTATGTTCAACACAATGGGCGTATCGGGACATAGCCCCGCGTAAGTCAAGCAGCATCTGGATTTACCTGAGGGAAAACTGTGCAACTAATCTGAATCCTGACAGCTTTAGCAGACAGATGTATGGCGAGCCAGGAGGAAGGAAGGGAAGAATGCAGCTATTCAGAATTGTGACTGAATTCAAAAGATATGTCCTTGTTTCACAAAACAGTTCAAAACATAAATATAAGCTACTGACCTAAAATGTTCATAATTTGGAGAATGAAGGAGATCATTTTTTCAGTAACTCCTCCTGATATCTGAAGTTATCTGAAAATCTTTAACTTCAGGGCAATAGAAAACTTTTCTCTGAAGGCATCTACCTCTTTAACGTGCCTACCCCCACCCAGATTCAAAATGCAAACAACCACTGTGTTGTGCACCACGGCCCCTCCTCAGTTTGTGTCAAGCTATTCACACTAGTCAGTTTCAGGAAGTACTGGTGTCACATGATACACTCTCTTCCTTATGTAGGATACTAACTAAGGGCAAATAGGAAGCCACATGACATTAACCAAATCCCACACTGCGGCCTGTGAATGAAGAAAACATAATTAGAGCAGTATTCATTCAACAGTATTTATTAGCA